TGCTTTTACTTTATTGAAAATTTTGACCCTTTGTGAAGGAGGTACCAGAAAGAGTTGTCTGATCAATGCCACCTTCATGTCAGACCTAGGGTTGTTAGAAATATTAGGGAATGAGAAAGTTAGAGGCAATTGGACTCTTCTTTTACATTATATAAGCGTTGCGATCATTCAAAGTTTTGACTCTTTGCAGGGATGTACCAGAAAATTGGTCCTATTTTTCCCATCTTCATGCTAGACCCAGGGTTGTTAGAAATATAAGAATATGCTAAATTTGAAGACAATCGAACACTTCTTTTATATTTTATAAACGTTTCTTAGAAGACGTGGATGTCTCCTAGAAGACCTAAGTCTTCTCATAGAAGACGTCTTCTAATAGAAAAGGTCTTCTCATAGAAGAGGTCTTCTCATAGAAGAGGTCTTCTCATAGAAGAGGTCTTCTCATAGAAGACCACGAGCTCTTCTCATAGAAGACCACGAGCTCTTCTCATAGAAGACCACGAGCTCTTCTCATAGAAGACCACGAGCTCTTCTCATAGAAGACCACGAGCTCTTCTCATAGACGATCATGACATTTTCGCATAGAAGATCACGAGATATTCTCATAGAAGACCCTGAGGTAGTTTCATAGAAGTCCATGAGGTCGCATAATAGAAGACCATGAGGTTGCATCATAGAAGACCCTGAGGACTTCTCATATCCGATCAATCGTGAGGGAGGTTCCAAAAAAAGTAATCCGATATTGTCCCTTTTAGCACCTTACCTAGCACTGAGCACTTTACCAAGTTTGAAAGAAATCGAATGTTCCTCTCTCTTTATATGAAGTAAATTATTTTCTTTGAAAATTTTGACCTTTTGTGGGGGAGGTGCCAGAAGGAGGAAACCGATTTTGCCTATCTCCGAACTTGATATGATTTTTATACCAAGTTTGAACCAAATCGGATACTCCCTTCTAGAGTTATCTTGCTTACCAGCATAAACTCCAAATGTCCTAAAACGGATTTGGTCCAAAGAGACCTAGGGTCTAAAGCTGTTATTTTGATGAGGCACGCTTTGGCCGTATCATATGATGTATAACATCTGCATATGGCTGAGGGTATATTTAAGGATCAAGTCTGGGTGTGAATTTTTGGAATCTGAAAGGCTGGAGTCGCCTAAACTCAAAATTTTAGGCCAGTACCTATAGATTATGCGATGATGATATGAATACAAATTACAACAAATTTTATGATCGCCAGATATGTCGCAGCCTCATAACCTTAGCGAGCCCATCTAAATGAAACAAGTTCTCCAAATGAATTTCCCCTACAAAACCGTTCCAACTTTTTGTGATCTTCTGTGGCCCACTGTCAATTACCCCGCTCATATGGAGTTGACTAAATGCTTGACTGGTTGTTGGATAGTTTTTAACTATTTTTTTTCTTTTTCTTCTTCTTCTTTTGGGGTGATGATGTCTTAGAAAAAGAAACCAACAACAGCAATGGCAGCAGCCAAAGTAATAGCAACAACAACAATCCAGCTTGGCAAAAACTTATGTAATAATTGCAGACATACATATTTGCAGCGCTTCAGCGCGTTCCTCTGCAAAGAAAAAAAAAAAACAAAAGTAAACAAAATTAAAGCCAGCTCAGAAGACCGGCCGATCCGATCCGACGGACCGACCGACTGGCTAAAAAATGGACAGGGGGACACCAAAAATTGTTGGGATTTCATTTCACATTTTCATTTTGGCACATATTGTCTGTCTTGGACTCCGGCACCGGCGAGGCGTATTGATGACCATCTAATGGTGTTACTTGTTTGGGAGGAGTACTCCGAACATGTCGAAGTTTCTTCTTTTGTTTTTGTGCTTAGCTCGCCCAGCTGAAATGAAGAAAATACAAACTTACAGGCAGGCAGCCCAGAGCATTCGTTGTCTTTTCAGAGCTCAGAATGATGGCTGATGGTAATGGTGGTGGTGGTCTGGTGGTCTACTGGTCTATTATAGAAACTTGTTTCGTCGGTTGTTGACTGCTCCAAACATGTTGCCTAGACGGACCGAATATTGAGGATACTTTTGCTTGGTTGACCCAAATAACCATACCGTCATACCACACGGACTGGCCGACTGACGGACTGACTGAGTTACTGGTTGGATGGCAAGCTGGCTGGCTGGCTAGCTGGTTGCTGGGTTAGTAGACTCCATTGCTATGCAGTGCTAAGCCATGCCATACCATTCCATATTCCACATTGCATGGCATGCCAATGCAGTCTGACCGACTGACTGCTACTACCATCCGCCGCCGATTTGTTGATGATGACAACGACAAAAACAACAACAACTGGCCACCAAATGTAATAGCATCATTTAATTGTGAATAAAAAGTAAATTGTTTCCAGCAAATTTATTGTGTGGCAGGGGTAGATTCTTTCGACCGGCTTTGGGATCGTTGAGTTGTTTTGAATATCGTTTAGAATGTAGTCTTTATTTTTATACCCTCCACCATACATAGTATGAAGGGTATATTAAGTTCGTCATTCCGTTTGTAACTCATCGAAATAATAGTTTAAGACCCAACAAAGGTATATTCTTGATCAGCGTAAAAATCCAAAAACGATTAAGCCCTGTCCGTCCGTCTATCTGTTGTAATCACGCTAGAGCCAAAACGAATAAAGATAGGAAGCTAAAATTTTGCGCCGATCTGCCCTTTGCTTGCTGACAAGTCAAGTTCGAAGATGGGATATATCGGTCTACGATATCGTATTTACCCGGTATAACTGTACCTCCCGACATTCGGTGTTTTGATGATTTTAGTCACATTTTTAAATGACATTGTCTGAAATTCTACACAAGGAGTTCCTTGTGAGCACTTTACCCCCTGAAACAGAATTTTCTATGCAGGTCCACGATATCGTATAGACCCCATACAATGGTACCACCGATATTGCGTCAAATTTGGTATTCAAAGTTCGGATTCGTTACTACAGCCTATCGCAAAAATTACTTATCTGGCATCACGTTTTCATATAGCCCCTATATTAAAGGTTTTAATTTGAACGGGATTTTTCGACTGATTTTTTATTTTTGGAATTTCCAGATCTAAAAGTAGGGTCTAATAATTTAAAAATCTGCTTTTAAATTGGAAAAATCCACTTCAAACTTCAGGATTTCATCTCTTTAACTTTCATCCTTATCAAATTTAGTTCAATTTAATGCTTTTAAAAGTACGCATTTCCAAATCCACCTCCATATCTGAGCCACAGACCCCAATAGTGACGTCTATATCAAATTTCAGCTCTTTTTCATCACACACACTCTTTTTCGAACAATTATACTACAAATTTCGGAAACCAATCCCATATTTCAATCCCTGATACCAACAGAGACCTCAATATTAAATTTGACGATTCCAACCCTATCCCCTCAACCAATACCAAATTTAGTACTTTTCGAGCGACTATAGTACGCATTTTCAAAATAATCTCCATATCTCAATCTCAAATACCAACAGTGGCCTTACGAGTTATATCAATTTTCACAATTTCAGTTCTTGTTGTAGCCGCTCTTGTTGTTGTAGTAGTTGTTGTAGCAGCTCTTGTTGTAGCAGCTCATAATGCTGTGTTCGATCTGACTCCTCTTAATCGGGATCTGCCTCCAAGTCCAGTCTCAAAAAGGATGCAACCTGCACGGGTTGGGTCCACAACGACACTGGAATTAGGTGAGTAGGTTCAGCTTGGCAGAGGAAAAGATACAGCGTATTATGTGGTCCTGTGCCTAAGCACCCAAGCAGGTATTGCATTGACAGCATTTTATTATACTGTCGCACCGGTAAGAATTTCGCCTCCTCATGTAGGTGGTCGACAAGTGTCATGAGTAGGCGGGAGGGGGCTTTTCATTATCCTCGAACAGTGTATCAAAAGCTTTAGATAAATCAATGCCACCATAAATCTTCTGTCACTTGGCTTGTTCTGGTTGAGTCCTGCACTGACATGTGTGGAAATGGCGTGTAAAGCTATTGTTGTGTTATGCAATTTCCGGAATCCGTGTTGATGATCAGCTACTGGGAAACATTCTCTTATGCTGGGGAGGAGTAAAGCTCAAGCGTCTTAAACATCTATCTGCTACCTGAACATCAGATGGGTTGGGTAGTTCTCTGAAGCGGCGATTGGTATATTTTGTGAATTCTTGCCAATTAGCTTTCTCATGGTTAAGGAAAGTGTGGCGTTCAGAGTCTATGAAATCGGGTGAGGGGTCGGGAGCACCATGCCTCTCAGGCCATTACCTAGGACGGAATCTCATAGCTCATGATGACATTGAAATGCCCTATTACCAGACGGTTATTGCCTACCACAAGTGAACTGATATTGGGCATATAACGTGAGGCACAGCTGTTGAACGGCGGAATGTACACGTTAAGAACCTCTATCTCGGCGGTTCCACATTTGACCGCTACCACCATACACTCCATCAACGGGTCACCAGAGGCAAGCTCAGGCGAGATAGGTCTGTACTGGACAGAATGGTGCAATAGAAACGCTAATCCTCCACCCCTTGTGCTATCCTTCCTCAATGCTTCAATACTTCACAACTTTGAAGCCTGCAGGTGGTACTCAGTTTCGTTTCCTCGATCGCTGCGACCTTGATGTTCTTCCGACTCTTGAAGCTTACAATTTCCTTGATCTTATCTCGGAGACCATCACAGTTGAATTGGAGAAACGATGCATTGTCCGGAATTTGAACAGCAATTTGTGGCGTCATTCCGAATTTCAAGTTTTATAAAAAAATGTGAAAAATCTCACCAAAATATACCCGACTCACTTTCTTTTGTCCAGCAAAGTATATATTTTTAAGAAGGTCTGAAAAGAGAATTAAAAAAGAAATGCATTCGTTCTAACTAATTTTCAAAAGCTTGTTACAGTCACCTTTGATTGATTTAATGTGTTGCCAAAATAGTTCCACGCATAACCATAACTATCGTTATATTTCAATGCACAGATTGGCAACGCGTCATTTTTGATGCCATGGTGACCACGATAAACAATTTCAAACCATTTCCGCAGCCAAGAACTCTCATCGGACCAACGAATTTCAATTGGAAAATTAAATATTTTCCTGTAAATTTCCACCATGGAATATACCTACAAAAAGGAACGGAGAAATTTCGGCCACGCCGTGAACTTTAGTAACAAAGATGAAGTACTCTTCTCGGAAAACTCCAACCGTGAATATTCCAAGGCTTATATTCTTAAAAACCCGATCGATCGAGAGACCCAGTATGCCAATCAAATGTCCTTGAGTGTGGCAAATACGGACAGGGCCACATATAAACACACAGGCATCACTCACAACGAGGGCGGTTGGCCCAAGGACATCAACATGCATGACCCTGAACAGACGGTCAGATATAAGCGTAAAATTGAGAAGGATGAAAATTATATAACCCAAGTAATGGGTTTGACCCGACCCATGGAACAGTATATTTTTCAAAATAATGCCGTGAATATTTATGAGAATTATTTTGATGATTTAGAACCGGCACCATTGCCGGAACCATGTCGTTCACGTACCGTAAATGTTTATAGGGATCCAAATCCCATAAAAGTGCCGGTAACCCATCTAAGTTGGTCCCCAGATGGTGGCATAAAAATGGCGGTCAGTCATTGTGACATGAAGTTTCAGGGTGACAAGACAGGACAGAAATGTAATTCGTACATTTGGGAAATCGAGAACCCCAATGAGCCGTATTTGACACTGGAACCCAAGGTGCCGTGTGTGTGTTTGGAGTACAATCAGAAGGATCCCACGAGTTTGGTAGGTTGTGATTTTCATTTATAATTTTTAGATTTTTATAAAATCTCCTCTTTCGTAAAGGTAAGCGGCATGTACAATGGCCAAGTGGCTGCCTGGGATACTCGTCATGGCAAATATCCCGTCATGATAAGTGAACGGGAAATATGCCACAGAGATCCTGTCAATTCGGTTTTGTGGAATAACTCGAAAAGTGGCACTGAATTCTTTTCGGGCGGTTCAGATGGCCAGGTTTTGTGGTGGGATACAAGGAAGTTGAGTGAACCCTTAGACCGTTTACTAATGGACCCGGTAAAAAGTGATGAACAAGATTTAAGCCGGTCTTATGGTGTATCGGTGTTGGAATATGAAACTACAATACCAACCCGCTTCATGGCTGGCACGGAGATGGGTATGCTATTCGGTTGCAATCGCAAAGGCAAAACGCCCATTGAGAAGATTCAATTGAGGGTAAGTTGAGGGAAGTTAGAGAGAAGAAAATATAGGTCAAATAGATTTTTTAAAAGCTATAAACGGGATCTTCGACTACACGGATTTTTAGATTGCAAAATTGGGCGGATATAAAAAATTGACCGGTTTCGAAATTAGTTTGTACAGAGGTGACGTTTCTCATTTAGTAGAAACCCAAATACCAAAGTTCGGATAATGGCTAGAGAGGGTATATATCATTTCATATGGCCAAAACGTGACTCATTGAAATAACGGTTTTAGATCCTAGGTATGTTTGGAAGAAATCCGTTTCAGGACGTTTGGGGTCGATCTAACAACTCTGGCTGGCTGGAGTGCACGATAACTCTCGAAATTTATTTTACAGCACAGAAAGATAAAGGTTAATCGGATTTTTCTCCAACCTTATAAATCCTAATATCAGTGCTAGGTCAGGTGCTAAAATGGTCAAGGGTCAAAATTTTCAATATCCATGAAGGTAATAAAAGATCTGTTATAAAGATGATAGAGATCGGATCATTTCATCTGGTACAACACCCACATATGGTTCAAGATTACAAAAACGTTCAAAGAAACCGAAATAGGCATCCGATTCTCTTCAAATTTCACACATACAAATATTTTGTGAAGATGTTTTATATCTGCAAACCCCTTCTGGTTCCTCACTCACAAAGGGTCAGACACCAACAGTGACATTCATATTAAATTTCAAAATATCAGTTCTATACTTTCACAGAATACCTAATGTTAGTACAATTTAGTACATTTCGTACAATTACAGTACACATTCCCAAAACAACCTCCATATCTGCATTCAAGATACCAACAGAGATTTTAGTATCAAATTTCAGGATTTAAGCTCTATTCGTAATAAAGTACAATTCGCACAATTGTAGTACACATTTGTAAAACAGCGCCAGCTCTCAAACAAAGATACCATCAGTAATATAAATACCAAATTTCAGAATTTTATCTCTATCCATTCTCCCAATATCGAATATTGTACCATTTAGTACTTTTCATACAATAATAGAACACATTTCCGAAACCACCTCTACATGTCTGGGCCATACATGAACACCGACCTTAATACCAAATTTCAAATCTCAGGAACTATATTTTCACCCAATACCAAATTGTAGCAAATATAGTACTACATAGTAATTTGCGTTCACTTGTAGTACACATTTTTAAAATCATCTCTTTATCACAAACCTATCACCAACAGGGACCCCACTACAAACTTTCAAAATCCCTACTTCATCCGTTAGGCATAGGCAAATCTGCTCCAAATTTATCACCATTTAGTACAGTTCGCTGACTTAGTACAATTTTCCAAAACAATCTTCATATATCGAACATTTTTTCAAACCTTTATTCTCATACCCCTATTTTCAGCTATTAGCTCTATCCGTTCCATAACTTAGAACTTTTCGTAACCTTAAATTTGCAATTTCCAAAAATCCTTTGGTACCTATATTCAGCACTGCATCAGTGACTCTCATTTCAAATTTCAGAGTTCTGTCCATTACAAAGCATTGACCGGGTCGCACTTTTTATATCTTCCACAATTTGAAGGTAACTTAAAAAAAAAATAAAAAAAAAAAAAATCCGCCGAAAAAATACCGTTATATGTGGGCTATACGAAGACCTGGTCCAATTTATTGGCATAGGATGTAGTACCGATTCCGAACCTCAAATACGAAACATGAAATAATTCCGGTGAATAATATCACTAAAATCATGAAAACACCGATTATGTGGGGGTAACGCTCTATGGGTGCTATATTAAAACGTGGACCTATGTAGACAATTCTCTTCCAGAGCGTAATGTACTCACAAAGAACTCCTTGTGTAGAAGTTCAGATAATTTCATTGAAAAATGTGGCCAAAATCATCAAAATACCGAATATTGGGGGTACCTTTATATGGGGGATATATGATATCGTAGATCTATATAGACAAATATCTTCCAGGGGTAGGGGAAAAATGTAACTAAATCAACAACAAAATAACGAATATCCCAAGGTACCTTTATATGGGGACTGTACGATATCATGGACCGTTAAAGCCCATCTTCGAACTTGACCTGTCTGCAGACAAAGACTGATCTGTGAAAAATTTCAGTTCCTATATTAATTCGTTTTGACTTGATCAGCGTAAAATTCTAATATTTAGCCCTGTCCGTCTGTTGTAATCACGCTAGAGTCAAAATGAATAAAGATAGAAAGCTAAAATGTTGCACAGATCAGTCTTTTGTCTGCAGGCTGGTCAAGTTTGAAGATGGGCTATAGAGGTCTATGATATCGTACAACCCCCATATAACAGTACCTCCCTATGTTCGGCATTTGGATGATTTTAGCCCACATTCACCAGTACCCCCCGATGTTTGACATTTTGACGATTTTATTAGGACATTATTCATCGAAGTTGTTTTAAATTTGATATTTAGAATTCGTAATGGGTACTACACCGTATGTCAGAAAATTTTCTATGCAGGTCCAGGTCTTTGTATAGGACCAATATATCTGTCCTTCCTATATTCGGCATTTTGACGAATTTAGGCACAATATTCGCCGAATTTGTTTATAATTTCGTATTTGAAGTTCCTACTAGGTACTACAGCCGGTGACAGAAAATTGTCTCTCCAGGTCTTCGTATATCCCCATATAATGGTACCTCCCTATATTCGGCACTTTTAAGATTTTAGCTGCATTATTCACCAGATTTTTATTTTCAAGTTTCGTCATTGAATATTGTAATGGCTTATGAGAAAAGTTGGTCCACGTCTTCGTATAGATCCCAATATAACGGCTATATTCCGTATTTTTATACCCTCCACCTTGGAAAGGAGCATAAAATCAGCGTAAAATTCTAAGTCGATTAAACGATGTCCGTCTGTCTGTTGAAATCACGATACAGCCCACATTATTTCACGTAGAGCGTCAAAATTTAGCAGAACAATTTGTATTGTACCTAAGATGGTTGGTATTGAAAATGAGATATATCGGTCCACGTTTTGTTATAGTCGATATATTGTTGATTTTTGCCACATTTTTCCACGGATCTGTCTTAAAATTTGTATTAGTAGGTCATAATGGGATAATGGCGAAACATTGCTATAGCCCCCAAACCTCCCAGTATTCGGTATTTTGATGATTTTTGCATGTAATATTAGGTATTTTGATAAAGATTGATATTTTTAGTTCATAATGGTTTCTAGCCCGGTGTCAGAACATTGAATATTTAGTTCCACGCTTTCCTATAGCGCACACATAACTATACCCACCGATATTAGGTATTTTGATAATCCTGGTCACATTTACCCCTGAAATTGTTTCGAATTTGGTATTTAAGAGGATTGGGTAGATGATAATCCTTGAAGTATAAAATTGTTTATAGAGTTTCCCGTTTTGGTATGGCCCCATATAACGGACTCACTCACTTTATGTTTTTTGATAAATGTAACTGCATTATGCAAAAGTCTTATTTGAATTCAGATACTTTTATATAAAAATCTTTCCTTTACCCTAAGGTGGAGGGTATTAAAAGTTCAGCCGACACCAAATAGATCATATCCTTTGAGAACCTGATTCCAAAAAAAGACGTTCGTTCTTAAATCTGCTACTTTAATCTAAATCTACTTCACTCGGATCAAGACCATACCTATACTTTATGGAGACTCTAATAAATATCTAGAAGCGTTACAATTTCCTGAAAATTTGTTCTTCTCCGATACCGTAAACCTTTTTCAAACAAACTAATATTTGCATTTCAGATGATGTGTCATTTGGGGCCAGTTTATGCCATTATGCGTAATCCTGCCTTTGTCAAGAATTTCCTAACGGTTGGAGATTGGTGTGCCCGCATATGGTCCGAGGATTGTCGGGAAAGTTCAATAATTTGGACGAAAAGTAGTAATGCCATGTTGACTGATGGAGCCTGGAGTTATACAAAGTGAGTTTCAAATTTTTGAAATTTGAAATATTTTCAGTCCAAATTAATAAATTTTTTTCTGCGCAGGGTCTCACAATTTTTCATAACCCGCATGGATGGTGTGTTGGATACATGGGATTTGTTGCAACAACAAAACGAACCGGTATTGACGGTTAAAGTTTGCGATGAGCCGCTCTATTGTGTTCGCACCAATGAGAATGGGAAATTTGTCAGCTGTGGCAGTAAATTGGGCGCCACATTCCTAATTGAGGTTTCCGAGAATATGGTGGCATCGAACAAGAATGATAAGCCTCTGCTAACAGCGGTATGAAACGGAAGATGTATAAAAATTCCCTGAGTAATGTTTTAAAACTTTTGCAGATGTTCGAAAGAGAAAATCGCCGTGAAAAAATACTCGAAGCCAAGTCACGTGAAATTAAATTGAAAGTGAAAACAAATATGGGCCAGGACCAAGGGGATCTGACAATGTTGAATGGCAAGGTCAATGTGGCACCATTTCAGTCGGCATGTGAACAAGCCGAGGCGGAATATTTTGCTGCTGTTGAACAGGAACGTTTGAGAAGGATACCCGGCAACAAGCGTAGGTGCTTAGAGTGACGGTTTTGGAAGAACATGGCAATTGACTGGTTAATTGTAATTTGTTGTTGTTTTTTCTTCTATTTTTTCAGAGGACATGGACGAAACTGAGGTCTCTGATGCGGAAAGTGCTGCAAAAAATTAATTATTCGGAAAAATAGTAGCATTGATTTAGTTTATTGTTATGTAAAAGTAGTTTAGTTTATTAAAACCATTTATGGTAGTCGTATACTTAAAATATATTAGAATAAAGGAAATTGGGAGAACATTTCAAAGTTATGCCCATTGAAACTTCCCATGTCTTAACACTTGTTGGCATGATTTATTTTCCTTTATTTAAAATTGCCGGTTTTTTTTCTATCTTTGTTTGAAACTAGTTGTGGTTTACGAGACTCTCCACCCGTGAATATGCATTTTGTTGCTCCCCCAAATAAATTGCCGCTTTGAACAACCTCCACAATCAGAACAACCCGATGACGACGACGATAGCAACCTCAACGTCCACAAAACTATTCATTTATTTTAACTATTTAATCGTTGTTCATTTATCTTGTATCTGCTGCTAGTGCCGGTATCAGCAGCCAGTCCTCCATATACTTGTATGGTCCAAAATAACCGAAAAAAAAGAAAACAACCAACATCAAATAGAAAAAAAAAACTCATACATGCAACATTCAGCATCCAGCCTAACACCCTGAAAACCGACAATTTCGGTTTATGACGTTTTGGATAAGTTGTTTTTTGTTTGAAATTACACACAGTGATTAGAACCTGGAGAGCAAGTTTTGGTATCTAAAAAAATTAAAAGGTAAAGATCGAGGTCTCCAAATCATTTCAATATTTTAGACAGCATTAATGTACAAATTTTTTAAATCGGCTTTAATCCATAAAGTTACTTTGGAGTTGAATCATTTTTAATTAGACTCCGACTCTAACTCGCTTTATCAGGACTCTAACTCTGGTGTCCACTACGAAAAAATAAAAAAATTCAAAATACTTCACTAAATCCCACCGATTAACTTCAATAGCTGCTTATAGTATATTCAGTTCAGAAGTACATCACAGTTATAACTTCCGTCGATCTCACATTAATTCTACACTACATTAGTAATATATGTCCAATTAATATATATTTTTACAAATTAGGCCGCACCTAGAAGTAAGCTAGCTATACTTGAAAGTAGAATACCAGTAAGAAAAGGTCAAATTTCGGACTGGGCCGACATATGATACCCTACACCACCATGCCTATGTTGTAGAGCTCCCGTAACAAACAAGTTTATATTGGGAATTTACGTGAGATAGATGAACCTTATTTGAATGCATATCATGGCTTTAGAGTACTCACAATTTGGTAACCATATCGAACTCTGAACCGAATTTCAACAAATTTGACGGAGGCTTTTGTACCCCTAGTAAAAAATAACATTGTTATATATTGCATGATACGACTTCGATAAGGATTATATTAAAAACAAGTAAGCAAAGGCTACAGTCGTGCGGGGCCGACCATGTGATACCCTACAACACTACAATAAGTTAAAAGTCCCCTTATGTCCAAATGCATTTTTTTAGATTTTAGCCTTTTATGCCAAGAGGGCATTCTGAATTGACAATATTTGTCAAAATCGGTCCAGCCATTTTTGAGATATAAGCATTCTAGCTAACATCCTCTTCCTTCTGCCCAGCCCTAAGCTCTAGCCCCATGCTAAATTCGGCGTCGATTGGTGTATAATTGCGATCTGTAAAGCAACTGCAAAATCAGGAACATTTTAGTTTTTGGTCCATTTCAACCCCTAAATATTATGCGATCATCTCCAAAAGCAATAGGGTTCTATTCTGACCCTAACCCCACCTCCATTGTAAATTTCGTGAGAATCGGGCCATAATTGCGAAGTGTAGAGTGATTACAAATTAACATAGACAGACGGACAAACTCACATACATAGATAGATCAACTCAGCTCGGCGAGATAGGAAGATCCATATATACTTTCCTATATGGGAAACCAATATTTCGAGGTGTTACATAATTTTTGGCCCAATAAAACTTATAATACCCCCAACACATAGTGCTGTAGGGTATAATTATTTATTGGAGCAATAGATTTGCCGGACCAAGTTTCACCTAATGGAAAAACTCGGTTGACTGTGAATCCAATTTTGGCTGATATTTACACATTTGGTACACAATAAACATGAAATCGGATAATGATATATATGGGAGCTATATCCAAATCTGAACCAATCTTGACAGAATTTGGAACACTTATTTCTGAGCTGTATTTTGATATATGTCATAAAAGATCATTGTTTCAGAGTGCTTATTACACCAAATCGGATAAAACATATATATGGGAGCTATAGTTATACCTGAGTCGATCTTCACAAAATTTGAGTAAGCTGTTTCTAGGATGAATTCAGTCGGAATTTCAGTACATTTGGGCTGATATTAATTATTTGGAGCACAATAAATCTAATAGATATATATGGAAAATCGGATAAAGATATATATGGCATCTATATCCAAATCTGATCCGATCCAGATAAAATTTGATAGGGGTATTTCTGAGCTGTGATGTACCAATATGGCACCAAAGATCATTGTTGTGGAATGCATATTACGAATGTGAGGGACTCAAAGGCCAAATCGGATGAAACGTATATATAGGAGCTTTAGTTATATCTGAACCGATTTTTATCAATTAGCCCGAAATCGGTTGAAGATATATATGGGAGCCATATTTAAATTTAAATCGATTCTCACTAATTTCAAAAGGGTTCGTACTTGGGTAAATTTCAAATCCATCGGACAATAAATGCGACCTGCATTTTGTTTACTAAATTACATTGACAAACGGACCGACGGACTGATATGCATAAATCGCCTCAGAAAGTGATTCTATGAAGATCCTTAAAAGTAACTATGGGACAATTATGTAACTTGATTTTCTCGTCGGCTGAGGTAAGCTCAGCTGTACCCAGGGTCTCCATAAGGACACACTAAACCTTATGAAATAAAAAGAGTAGATTTCTCCCTATCCTGGGTGTAAAAAATCGGATGTTTCATTGATTTTTATACCCTACACCACAAGGTGGTCAGGGTATTATGTCTTTGTGCATTTGTTTGTAACAGGTAAAAGGAAACGAGATAGACCCATGGTTCCTTTTGATGGTCTGCATTGAATCACTTTCTGAGTTGATAAATGCATGTCAGTCCGTCTGTCCGTCCGCCCGTCCGTCTGTCCATGTATTCTTGTGAACAAAATGCAGGTCGCATTTATTATCCGATTGAGATGAAATTTTCCTAACTACGTTTGTTCGGCCTAAGGACGAACCCTATTGAAATTGGAGATAATGGGTAAAAATTTAGATATAGCTCCCATATATATATTCGTCCGATTTGCCTTTTATTGTGCACCAAACGTGTAATATCAGCCCGAATAGTATGGAATTTTGCACATACAACCAAATTAGTCCTGAAAATAAGTATGCCAAATTTGATCGAAATCGGTTTAGATATAGCTATAGCTCCCATATATATTGTTCATCCGATTTGTTATTTTTGTTCTGCGCAGCCGTAATATGCACTCTGTAACAACAATATTTGGGGAAATATATCAAATTCAGCTCAGAAATACCTTTGCTAAATTTTATCGAGATCGGTTCAGATTTGGATATAGCTCCCATATATAACTTCGTCCGATTTACACAAAACGTCTAATATTTGCCCAATTGGGATGGAATTTGGCACATACGACCGAATTGAGTCTAGAAGGTAGTATGTCAAATTTGGTGAAGATCGGTTCAGATATAGCTATAGCTTCCATATATATTGTTCATCCGATTTGTTGTATTTGTTACCCACAGCCGTAATATGCACTCCGTAACAACGATATTCAGGGAAATATATCAAATACAGCTCAGAAATATATTTGCCAAATTTTATCGAGATCGGTTTAGATTTGGATATAGCTCCCATATATATCTTTATCTGATTTGAAATTAATTATGCACCAAATGGGCAATACAAGTCCGAACTTAAAAGATACAAATGCTTCGGCATGTTTATTCCTTTGAATTTTAAATTATAATTATAATCGTAGCTTGTATGATTGAATTCTCCCATAAAAACTTTTAATTGTTATGTGGATCTCAACTAAATTAGCAAAGTAGTGTAGGGTATCATAAAATCGGCTCCGCCCGACTTTTAATACTAAATTACAATCTACTCGTATTGAAACACAATAAGATGAATATAGGATTGACTTCGGAGGTGTTCGGGAATTCAAAGTAGTGTTGTTTAATTGAAGATCGGGAATTCTACGTTTGCTCGTCAGGTAGGCAGTGTGATAAGCCGATGATTCGAAGGTGATCGGGTACTCGTGGATGACCTTCAGATGTTGATTGGTGAGGAAGATCGAGAATTACGATGTTGCGTTCGGGTGACCCTGGTGTTGACGATTTGAAGGAAATCAGGAACAAGTGATCATCGGTTGTCGGTGGTTTGACTGTTGTCAGGAATTATGATGTTTGTGTTTGGGTGATTTGATGTGCAAGTCTCCGAAGGCGGATTGGGGACTTGTGATATACATTTTAGCAATTCGGATTTTTTAGAAGGTTTGAGATTCGTCCGGGTTTGACAGCTCACTAAGTGTAGATTTGGCAACTGATGGCTTGGCCTTTTTAGATAGATATGGACTTTTTCGGATTCGGCAGCTCGTTGAGGGTAGGCTTGGTAAACGATGTCTAGATCTTTGTAGATGGATCGGAACTCTTTCGGGTTTGGCTGCTCACTGTGGGTATGTTCGGGATTAGCTATTCGGGTCGTCTACAGTGACTAGTTAACTATTCTAGCTAGCTCCACGGTTTATGACTACCTCTACTCCACTACCAATGTTTGACTATGGTACGGAACAGCGAGACGAAGCTCCTGCGGAACAACTAGCCTGGCTAACTGACCACTCAAATCAATGAGAGAACCAGATTTGAAAAGGTATTCCCAGCTAATGCTTTTGTTAGCCGGAGAACGGCTAATGATTCACGAAATCACTAGGTACTCTTTGTCAAGCCCTCTACAGCACCAAGCCAGTCGCATCGTATACCAAACCTAGCCCTATATGTATATCAAGTCAGTGAGAATTATTCGCCTTATGCGGTTAACGGCATATCACGAAGATTTAGATTGAGAGACTTACAACATTGGCCCACTCCATC